AAAAGAAAAAAGGCTCAGAGAGGGGAAGGGAGTTGCCCAGGACCACACAGCTCTAATGATTTATAAAGCATTTATAGAGAACTTGCTATGTGCCAGGCACTTTCGCACAGTGAGAGAGACAGGACGGCTTTGCGGCTAGACACAGAGGACCTGGCACCAAACCTGCCCAGAGTTCAAGACTCAGCTCTGCCTCTTCCAGGCTGTCACTATGGGCATGTGACCCCACTTCTCTGAGCTTTCTGAAAAACAGAAATCATAATTGTGGGATTGAAATAAGGACTAATGAGCTGATGTATCTGGAGCAGAGCTTAGCACCTAGGAGGCATCAATACAAGTTGGACTATTCTTCTTCTTCTTGAAAAGAACTTTAAAGTATTAGAAGTGAGTGCTCAGTAGATGCCCATTGAGAAAGCTGAGGCTCAAAGATATGATGGCACCTGCCTTAGGTCCCAGCTAAGAAGGGGTAGGGCCAATATTTTTAAATGAGGCTGGCCAGGCACCATGGCTCACTCCTGTAATCCCAGCACTTTGGGAAGCCAAGGAAGGAAGACCACTTCAGGCCAGGTGTTTGAGACCAGCTTGGGCAACATGATGAAACCCTGTCTCTACTAAAAAATACGAATATGAAAATTAGCCGGGCACGGTGGTGGGCACCTGTAATCCTGGCTATTTGGGAGGCTGAGGCAGGAGAATTGCTTGAACCTGGGAGGCAGAGGTTGCTGTGAGACGAGATTGCGCCACTGCACTCCAGCCTGGGCAACAGAGCAAGACTCCGTCTCAAAAATAAAAAATAAAAATAAATAAAATGAGGCTGGCAGATTTTCAAGTGGAGGGGCAAATTTAATCTTGCAACTGGGTGCCATGAGAGAGGTCTGATTTCGGGGGCATGTAGGGGCAAAGGGTCTATAACAGCAGAAACAACTGAGGCAGCCAGGAAAGGCCAGCGGCAGGGAAGAGAGCCACCAAGAGGACAAAGGTCGGGGGTCACAGTCCCCAAGAAGAGACGGCCCAAAGCAAAGATGAAAATATAAAGCCACAGTGTCCCCGGGGAGGAGAAATTCCCTAAGTGCCAGGAAAGTGTGGGGTGGAGGCGGGAGCGTGGCAGGCAGCCCGGCCATGCCCCCCTCCCCACTGGAACCCTGGGGGAGCTGGACACCTGGTTGTTCACGCGGCAGGAGGGGACAGCCCTGTCAGCTGCTGGCCCTGGGGAAACTGGGCCTGGGGAGGGCATGCTTGGGCATAATAAGTTAGCCCTGGGGGGCAGGGCAGAGCTGGCCTCGTGCCCAGACCTTGCTGTGATGAGGACAGGGCTGGCTGTGGCCCCAGCATGGTTTCTGTTGCAGGTGGCCGGACTGTGCCGTGCTGCTCCGGACCCAAGGTGGCAGCTCTCACTGCGGGAACCCTGCTGCTTCTGACGGCCATCGGGGCGGCGTCCTGGGCCATCGGTGAGAGCAGTCCCTGTGCCTCCCACCTCCCCTGGCCCCTGCAGACTCCAGCCTGCCCGCCCTCACCTCTTCCTTCTCTGCAGTGGTCGTTCTCCTCAGGAGTGACCAGGAGCCACTGTACCCAGGTGAGTGGAGCAGGCCGGGATCCTCCGGGGGAACCCTGCAGGACACCTGTATCTGGCAGGAGCTCAACAAATGTATTTGTTGGATAAATGTACAAATGCATGCAGAAATGCTAATCATAATAGTGCATTTGTATCGAGTGCCTGCTATGTACCAGGCACTATTCTAAGCACCCCACATGTCTAACCCAGACTTTTTCAGACACCAGCGTGTTACTCATGAGTGCATCATGAAATTAGTGAGTTGGAAAACCTTGTTTTTTTAAAAGTATGAAATAGATTATAGACTGCCACAGTGCATCTGTAAGGAAATGTGACGCCAATTTTTGTTTTGCTTTTTTTTTGCATCCATATGCATGCAATTCCTCTGCATCCCCACACTGTGAGGGTGGGACTGTTATTCTCCCCATTTTACAGATGGGGAAACTGCGGCTTCGAGCAATGTGGTGGTTTGCCTCAGGCCACAGAGCTATGGGCCACATCAGGATGTAAAACTATGTTTCTTACTGTGAGGCATGATGGTTAGGGAGGCGTGGTATGAACACAGTGGGCCCTTGTAACTCTCCTAGAAGATTGTTGCTGTTTTCCTTTAAATGAAGTCTTGCTCTGTCACCCAGGCTGGGATGCAATGGCACAGTCTTGGCTCACTGCAAACTCTGCCTCCTGGGTTCAAGCGATTTTCCTGCCTCAGCCTCCCAAGTAGCTGGGATTACAGGCATGTGCCGCCAGCCCCGGCTAATTTTTGTATTTATAGTAGAGACAGGGTTTCACCGTGTTGGTCAGGCTGATCTCAAACTCCTGACCTCAGGTGATCCACCCACCTTGGCCTCCCAAAGTGCTCGGATTACAGGTGTGAGCCACTGCACCTAACCTAATGTTTTCCATTTTTAGTAGAGATGGGATCTCGCCATGTTGCCCAGTCTGGTCTTGAACTCCTGAGCTCAAAGCAGCCCTCTCATCTCGGCTTCCCAAAGTACTGGGATAACAGGTGGGCAACACCACAGCCCATTTTCCTGTGGGGACGCCGAGGCACAGAAAGGCCGAGTGACTTGTCCCAGGTCACGGAGCTAGTCCATGTCAGGGCTGGGATTTGAACCCCAGCAGTCTGGATAGTAGCTGTATATAATGTTCACACTTGACTATTTGTTAAAAACAAACAAACAAACAAACAAACAAAAACCAGCTGAATTTGTTGCCATAGTGAAGACTAACATACGCCAGGGCCTGGCTGCAGCCTTTACCAACTAGGCCTATGCAGCTGGGCTGTTATCATCCCAACATTTTGCATTTGGGGAAACTGAGTCCTGGTGAAGTGAACCAACTTGCCCAAGACCACACAT